GATAAGCACAAATTAAAGTCGTCACGTAGTATTTATCAGTATATAGTCATTATCACATAGTATCTGGAAGAAATATAGATATACTATCAATATTTCTTTGTACTTTCTTGCTTATTGGCTATTATAAATAATCCCAGTTTGACGGCTAATCAAATTTACCTCTAACCATTCGAATTACACGTTTGTGTAACAGTTGTTTAGACATTGTCAGTCATTGTCTGTAATGTATACACATAAATACTTGTACAATTCGTACATTTTTCACAAATGTTTTGTACATTTATGACCATGGCAAATATTTCTTATATTCGCATAAAATCCGCTATCTCTTTATAATAATTATGTAGTAGAAAAGATCCACAAATCGATAAGTAAAATATGTAATAGTTTTAAAATATTTGAATTTTAGACGTTTATAAAAATATGCTCCACCTCTCTCGAAATTACTCTACTTACAAATCTAAACTAACTTACTAAACTAATTTACTAAACTACTTAAAAATCGTTTTAGAATTCAGAGAATTCGTACGAGTTTATATTTTATATAATGTTCTTTAAAAGACAGTGCAGCGGCAAGGTAATTCAAGTAAAATGTACGATTAAATGTACATACATACGATACAAAGTGGTCGTAACGCGAAATGCTTTTCATGGATATCGAGCAGACGTGTACCCGGCGCGTAGCGATTGACGGCTCAGCCAATTGGCAGTCGCGCACTTGGCAAGAATGATACAATTAACCAATAAACACGTTACACGGCAGAACTAACTCTGTACAGGACATAGGACACGCGTCCGTTGTCGTCCACGAGAAGTCACATTTTCACGTGTCCATCAAATATTCCACGGTTATCTGCATTCCGCAATCACGTACGCTATACATATATATATGTATATATAGTTTTGTTTTCGATCCCATCGCGATAATTCGACGGCACATGGTTCGCTAAAATCGGATATAGGGCTCACATTTTTCAATTCACATCGGTGCTAAGTTTTACTCTATCCTCATTTTTTTGAGCAAGTCTATAATATAATTAACGATCAATGGGGCCAATGGAATAAAATTTAATTTGCTGTGTTAGCCTATTTTTGTTCTAGGAAAAAAGTAATTTAGTTACATTTATTTTGCCCTGTATGGGATGTTTTATTAAACACGAATAATAAATCTATCTTTTCTATACAATAATATATTGAATATATATTATTTACTTTTGAGTAAAATTTAGTAATGGCACTGGTATGTTAACTTATTCGTAACTTTTAGCAATATGATAAAATAAATTTTCTTTTCTTCTGATTTCTTATAGAAGAATTTAAAAACGATCGTATGACTATTGCACAGTAAGTTTAGTGTTAGAACGATATTGTATCGGTAATTGATAGAAGAATTTTAGTTATGATATGGATGTATACGTACGAGGAAAGGCTGACTTTTCTTCGATGAATTGATAGGAACTATATGCGAGATACATTATACCAATAATCTGGTCGCGCTAGAATTATGACGTGTATGTACATATAGGTATGTGTACCATATAATCGATTCAGTGCGTGATCAATTTCGATCTCTGACAAACCGATCGAACAATAGACCGACGAATAAATACGCCATGCGACCGGTCGACATTAATAAACCATGCGCTGACAAACATTCGTGTTAAACAAACTATAAACATCAATGATCCTAAATATTCGTCATCGTTACTAACGGGAATCAGCCGTGTGACTATTTAATAGGGGCACGATGGCAAATCGAATCGCATTCACCGCACATTGCAGCGAAAAAACAAAGCAATGACGTGAATTGATTGCTATGTTATTCGATTTATCGTAATAATAATAATAATGATAATAATAATAATAATAATAATGATGATAATAATGTATTTATTGTCATATAACAATGATTGAACATCAGTGGAGTAGACAATACTCGGTATTACATAATTGTGTGAGTATTAGGTATTGCATTGATACATAATTCAGCTGTGTCTTCTTCATTTCATGTCGAATATCGTGATATTTGATAGTTTTTAATATTCAGCATAAAGTAAAACAACTTATAAGTATTTACTTACCTATTTTGCAATATAAGATAATCACGAAAATTGATTTTCTTACGATTCTTTTGGTATTTTAACTATACATTACTGACACAATTATTTATCGATGGTTAAAATTACATATAGCTTAGCGGAGTTTTCTTTCTGCTCTCATTATCAGTGAGAAATTCAAGTGGAATCTGTTGTATTGTTATATCATACGCAATGAACTTTTGGATGCCATTGTAGCACGATGACTACTATCTTAAAGAAACTCGATATAAAGTCGAACGCAGTACACTTTAAAATATTTCGTAAATATATATGTATTTGAATTAATTTGAAATGAGAAGAAAGGTGTCATTCATTTATTAAAGTCGATATCCTAAAATCGCGACGCTTAAATCAGTTTCATCTTTGTGGCAAGAGGTGTGCACAGAACAACCGGTTTTTACCGCGACTCGATTCATCGCGTTGTGACTCGTGTTGCGAAAGCGAAGAAAATTGAGGGAAGAGGAAAAAAGGGAACGTGATCGACCGCTTTTAATGCATCACGCTCCGCTCCTGTTACATTCGATGAATCGTCCTATTTTTGTTACCCGGGCTTATTCCATTAAACGCGTTGCCGATATGTCAGAAGATACCGGAGTAAGGAATTTCGTATCGAGCGTGTTCCAATTCAGACAAACGATGACGCGTTTCTTTTCCATCTTTCTGACTATCTGGACTCATGGCTCATGTCAGCACAGATTTTTGTCTCTTGTACGATTCCGTAGTTTGCATATATATACGACTTTACAAAACTGGTCCAATGCGCCACGTAAACATATACGTATTAACCAATTAAAGCGACATGCTGATTAATGCCGAGCAGGTAATTACACGCTCGCTTAATCAATATACTTACGAGCCACTTTCTAACATGAAAACCAACACCTGAATCGTTTTTATTTCGCTTCTGACTAAGATTGATTGATGCAGTTTGGTTGCAATCTTATTCTCATTTATTATGGATTAATCGATGATGAATGAGCGTTAATTCGGAATGAGTAGATCGTACCAATAAATAATGTTACCTGAACGTAAAATAATTGCAAATATTAAGGTGTCTTTTAAACTTCAATTCTTTTACCGTTTGCTGTATTCATAAAATTTTCATGATGAACACAGCTCGCGGACATCGCTCATTAAAATCGTTTACTCTTTTCGTTTACTAGTTAAAGAAGGTCCTTCAGTATACCCATGGTTCTTTTCTCTAGCTAAGTAACGATAAGATTAAACGTCACTGAGCTGAGTGTAAGAAGGGTGAAGTGATAATAATTGTTTGTGGGGAATCGAGGCGGAAAGGTTGCTGATGGTTACCACCCCATCCGAAGGGGATAAACGTCGGAGCTTGCAACAGGCGTGTGAATGTATTTACATCTACATTCAGAGTGTCTCAAGACAAATTATTATTGAACGTAGAAGCCTAGAATATGCTTGCAGTCTTATAAAAAAATTCAATTCTACGAAAAAGATGATTTCTTAATGAAAAACAATTAAATATATACAACTTAATTTTAGACATGTGAACTCATTGTCTGCTTAATTATATCTATACATACAAAGTAGTCATCCTGCATACCCAAGTGGACACTCTTGAGACCCTGGTTTGAAGAGGTAGGGAACGAAAGGACATTATGAACAGACGGGGGTGAGAAAGGTAGAGGCACGACAAATGACCGAGAATGAAACAGACAAGCGACGCGACGTTGAAATAGGTGGACAAAAATGAGAGAAACTAAACGGGCGTGACGAGGATGACGAATGAGCCAAGATCAGGGTGGATTGTAATCGAAAAGATTCGTGGTTAAAAATGTGTAAATTACCTAAATTAGAAAGTACAGGACCACAATAAGTGTAGTTATAAACAAATAGTACAGTTCAATTTAGGGAATGAAAATGTCCTTATTGCAATATGGTGGTTTATGCCTATCCTCTTATTTTCTTACTTTCCGTTTTTACATTGTGTATAATAATTCCGATGAATTATTAAAGCATTCTAATTATAAGTTATAGGGAATATCTTTACACGACGGAAACTACTTTTAATCTATCATGTATTTACTTATACACACGTTAAAAATAAACCACGGTTGTGTATATGACCGTGGAATAAACTTGACGTTCGGGAATTATTCAAAATCTGTCGGGTCATTCGTTATGAAACAATTGAATATGCAATAAAAAGAAAGGTTAACAAAAGTCTTCCAATGTGCGATAGCAATGTTCTCCATGTCAATAATTTAAATACTCGGGGTAATGCAACAACTTTCCCACAAAATTCACCGCGAATACGAATTTCGATTTACAGCAAGTGAAAAATGCAAAGCACATCGTAATGAACGGATTTTCTGTCTCAATGTAACCGCGATGAAAATTGAATCATTGTGTAGCAAACTGGAAATATAAACGCGATTTTAATGATTACGATTGAAATTGTACGTAATATAATCGATCACAAATAGAGTATGCAGATTTTTTATCGTTAAGAACCGTAGAGGTTATACTGCTGGAAGTAGCTTCCATTAGTGTCGGAAGTGCAAAATAACTCGTAAACATAGAGATATAGTTTACCTTGCATGTTGTAAATGAAAAGACTTTAAATTGCTTCCAATATATCGCTTAATGACAAGTAACGGTAGTGTTGTAGCCCATACTGTGCTGTGAGAGAGAAGTAAATCTAAAGTTAAGTCTAAAATCTAATTGTAAGCTAAAGGAAGGCGGATTACAAAAGACTGTTCATTGGAGGTGTGAGAAAGAAATGAGGCGACGATGTGCTCGCATGAGCATGAGAAAGATGGAGAGAAAACGCTCGAAGTGGGGAGACCACATGGTGTCACGGTGAGCAGTGGGAGGGCGTTAGTCGTGCGGGGCAGGGAGAGTCTAGAGAGGGGACGCGCTTCCTCAAGCTCTGTGGTTGATTAGTTGATACCCGTCTGTCGTTGGGGACGGTTCGTTCGAGGTTATGTACGAAACGCGCGTCGGACGCGCATATTCCTATCGCGTAACTCTAGCGTGATTTGACGAGATTGTACCGTACTCAACCTGTGAGTTCTGTGTATATCGTGCCGCTTTTACTTTCGGTTTATGTGCGGTGTGAAACGAGTTATAAAGTGAGTGATCACCGAGATAGCTAAGAAACTCGTCGAAGAAAGTGAGTGATTTTAATGGTGTGTGCTTCTAAGGCTCGACTATCGTATCGGCTCTGTGTTTCTCGTTTGGTTTCATTGTTGTTTCACGTTTCGTTCCTGACTAGTGAATTATAGTGCGTACTCTCTCTGGCTATGACTTGGGATACCGCCGGATATACCTGAGGATAACGGAGACGTATCCATTATTTCTGATAGGACTCAGGCGTGACTGTAGGGAGCAACATAACCTCTTCAAGGGCCTCTGACGATAAGATGTACCCCAGTGCCGGTATGAACGCGGCAGCTGTGGCTGTGGCAGCTGCGGCACGGCACCCGGCAAGTGGTTTTATTTCTCCTTTTTCTTTCGTGTCGACTTCTGTCCTTCCTCCTTTCTCGCGTACAAGCTCGACAGGAATGACCAGCACGACCCATCGTGATAAAAATAAAACGATTAAGGATCTGTTGAAGTAGAAATATTGGGATATCTCGTAACAAAACGATCGTTTTGATTTTCGCATTTAATTATAATAATAGCAGCGAAGCATGTAGTTCGCCGCGATGTCAATCGGTGATTTAATAAACGTATTTTCTTAGAATCGTGCTTATAGAATTCTAGATACATAAGTCCAAATGAGAAGGAATCCAGAATGAAAGCAAAATCGTGAACATATGCTTTTCTAGAATACTAAATTCCTTTATATCCGGTTATTACTAACCAGTGTTTATTAATTATATTAAGAATATTTGGAATCTTCAACTCAATGTACTTCAGTGAATCTGATCAACGCCGGTTTTATCTTAAATGAATTTAGTTATTTTGATCGTAATTCTCGATCTTGATTGAATTAGTAGCTTGGATATAATATAAATTAAACATTACGTTATCGTTATACATGGAAATCTATTTGGAAATACGAAAAACTTCATTCACGACCGTAATCCTGAGTTATTTTTATTTTGTATGAATTTGCTCGGCAATTATTTAGAACTTCGGTCTCAACACCGATTTCGTTGATTTCTGAATATGTCGTCAGTGACATGATTCTAAACAACTATTGTCTATAAATGTTTAATTGCGCGAAACCAGCGAGTGGAATGAGTATAGAAATTCTAAATTTCACTAATTAGATTTTATTCTTATACTGGTAGAGATTTACAATGTTTAGAAGACGGAAGGAAGTACTTATTCTGAGAGGCTGAATGTTCAAGATTAAGGAAAAACCTAGGGAAAGGGGAAAAGTAAAAGAATAGGGATGGTTGTGAGTAAGGACTGATGGAAAGGATAACTGCAGGGACGAAATCATGCGTTGGAGAAGGGACAGGTCAAAACTATGGCTGATACTTGTAATCGTGACAGTCTTAACTTACATGATTCTGCACTAATGCACTTAAAATGAACATTAGATAAACTAAAGTAACTAAAAATTAACGCGTTATCCAAAATGAATATAATGTAAAGTCTCCTTTTCTTTACGAGATATTTTCGAAAAATTGTCGGAATTGGCAGAATTATGTACTGCTACGGGCAGTTATTTCGATAAATGCTTATTAACGGATCCCCACTTCTGATTTCAATAAAATTGAAATATATCGTCAAGGTTTCCGTTCTAAATAATATTTTTCTATACATGGTATCGCCACTTGGCTTTAGTTCCTGAGGTATTTGTAAAAAACTTCAGTAAAAATTCTGTTTAGGGGATTCAGCTCTGACGAGCTTGGCCTTGAAATATAACGCATCCCTAATACTACATCACCTATTCAAATCTCGTACCTAACCCAACCTCCCACCACGTGGCGATACGTTGGCCGAAGGCCGACGGGCGCCACCTTGTATCTACACCTATTCAAACCGGATCGTGCTCCGCTGTCCATTAGAAAAATTTGTTGTCATCGAAGGTTGAAATGCTGCCTCGTTAGGATGGGTGGTTGGATTAGGTTTAAGGTTCGAATAGGTGTAGTATTAGAGATATTCTCTAAGAAGTTCTTACGTGCTTAAATAACATAGCCCTAAGTTGATAGAAATTCATGACAAATAAAATCGAACTCACAATCGGATGTTGCATCTACGTATACTCATCCGAAAAATCATGAATTACTGTGAAAAATTACCGTGATTGACACCGAATATGATCTAATCATTGATGATTCACAAGTAGCAGTTCCCGTCTTCTCTAGTCATTAGAGGGAACATGCGCATATATACATACCTTACATGCTATGGTTGTACGTATGTCGGACCAGAATCTAATAAGTTAGTTGTGTACTAACTAGTCAACTAATCACACATATTGTATACTACACATACTTGTCCTCATATATGTATACAGTTACTCCTCATTTGACGACGTATTTGTTTAACGACTTATGGCCAGCATCGCAGCACGTGGAATCTCCATTTTTCGTTTGTTTTGCTTTCTTCTTTTTTCGACGATGGCTGAAAAAAGGGATTCCATAAAACTAGTCATTTGTCGATTGTCATTTTAGTGGACGTGTATACGCAGCACATTTTGTTATGTAGCTATCTCATTCTCTGATTCTTATCTCATTTAAGACGTATAATATATTGTTTTAGAGCAGGTGCTTATAAACCAAAGCTCTGTAAACAAATGACTCAGTTCCAGGGAATTTTCTTCTTCGGTCATTCTCGCAGTTGAACAAATAAAAATGATTTTCTTGCTTAACGACTAAGACATAGGAACGGGTCTTAATCGCTAAATGAAATGCATACAGTTGTACGGAGATATACATAATAGTATGTCTGCGGTTAACGATTGTTCCTTTACTATCTTGTCAGTTACGTGAAGGAAGGAATTGAAGATTGTCCATTTAATTGAATTTCGTTAAAAACGAGGATAACGAACAATTGCTCACTCTTTCGATTAAGTCACTTTAATGCTGACATGGAACTTCAAGTATGGAAATACTAATGTGCGTTCGATCACTATTTATGTTGTTCTCAACCGTATTTGTAATGACTAGCCATTGCATATTTTAAACGAACGTTTTTCCGCGAATACGACTACCGTAATCGTACCTGTTTCCAGTTCAACCGTTATTTTTTTCTCTTACATGCTCGAAGTTCCTATTTATCGCAAAATTATACGTAAAGGTGATTCACTTGGCGGTGGCCTTGCTATATTTTACTGTCAATACCCCACGCGATTACCAGCATAAAGCAACCGTGAAAACATTTAGATCCGTGGCTAGATACGATTAACGGTCCAGCGTAACCAGTGTTTTCTTGACACTCCCAGCCGTGTACGCGCTTCGTTGTTCTACGCATAACGCCGAGACCGGTGAAATTAAATTTAACCTTCGTTGTCAAGAGCAGATAGTAATTTAAAACGCCCTAAGCAATGAGGCTACGAAAATTGCACCTGGTGCAACCCGTCATCTGTCGGCTGCCTTTTTCTCCATAGCTTTCAACTGATATTTCTGTCTATCAGGTCGTCCAATAATCTCGTACATGTATTTCATAATTTCCAATTTCTCGCGAGAGTGTACGAACGCGCATTACTGATAATTATCATAAATTTATTTATAATCGGGTTATTACATTATAACTGCAATTTTCGTTAAAATTGAGACGTTATTACGCGTGTGTCTACAACTACTATACGAAGTTCGTGTTCTGTAAATTGGATTTTTAATTTTGTAATTAATTTCGATGAAAAGATTGATTGATAAACAAAGGAAAATAATTTACAGAACTTGATTTACATACGTGCATTTATTTATACGTGTATTTTAGCTACATTATGCATTTTGGCCTCATATAAAGTCGTCGTAGGCGTTTAGGCGAAGTTGTGTATAATCGTTTCCAGCAAAAGTTATATCTCCGATGATCTAAAGCTAAATTTATTGTACTGAAGTCTTCCAATTAGTTTAACTCGGAATTATTGCGTTATCTCCAAAATGAATTTACAAATTTCTGAATGAGCGATACAGGAATCATGATTGTGTATTTTAAATGAAATCAGAACATTTGATTAAAGCATAATTTTTTAAAATCATACCTTGGGGAAAAAGCGAAATTGGTTAGGCTAGCTGTAACTCATTGTTAGATGTAGATTTTTACTATGTCTGTGTACATACGCAAATATGTATCTGTATTGTGTATTCGCATATTCGTTCTTTGCCAGGCGGACTCTTCCGGATCGTTAGCCGAACAAATCCCGGTCTCATATTTATTTTCTCTCGATAGTTTACTCATGTTTCGGTTTCCATCCTCGTTCTTCTATCGTCCATCGCACTTTTTGAAAAGCGCACACTCACGGCCAGGAAACGGACGCGCACCAGACTCGGTTTGCACACGCGCCTAAATACCCGCCCCGCTTCTCCTCTATGTATAAATACGCGCTCGATCAAATTGACGCGGATCTAATTTTTCTTCGTCCGTTTTTACGGATTTTGAGTCCGAGTCACTTCGAATTTACCGTGTGTGCATACGCGCACACCAGATTCGCCGTTCGGCCGTTTTTCCGTTCGCGAACGGTTCGTGCCTCGCGTGTTTGCCGCGCTTTGTAGAGTATACGTTTCCGAACAGACGGACAGACAGAGAAAAACGAACCGGGGAACGAGCCGAGGGAAAAAGAGATTATGAACGAGCGCGCCCAGTCCTCGAGGGAATAATATTTGGCCGGCGTGCAAGTTTTCGTTCGACCGTAAACAGTCGAGTCGAGGTGGAAAAACTGGTTGAGAATAGGACGAAAATAAATGGACGTATCGCGATTGCCTCTGACCAATATCTGCAATTACGTTAAATTCCGTGCACGTGACGACATCATCGCGATCGATGATTACCGAGCGAACGGTGCGGCTAAAAAAGTAAAAAACAAAAAGGGGAACAAAGAATAAATTCCAGATAAAGTGGGCCGCTCCTGTCTCTCGAGAAATTAAGTACTTGAAACTTGTTGGAACATTTCCAATACAGACCATTGAAATTGGAACAGATTTGCTCGCTTTAGAAGCCCGACTTAGAAGTTAGATGATCCATTCGTATTCGACGTATCCTACTGCTTGATCGCCGTTTTATTGTGGCCTTATCCTGGCCTTGTGTTTCACGTGAGTGAGAACTTAATAGAAACAATAAGAGATTTTATTATAGTAACAGTACACATTGTAGATGAATTGTATCAATGTTTATTATCAAGCTTCGGATTTTATGCATCTATAAAAAAATGGAATGTGCAGAAAATAGAAACATCGCGTGTAGTGCATAAAACTATATAGAATATTAAAAGTGAATTCATATTGCAATACCTAAATGATAAACTTAATTTCTATCTCAAGTGAATTTTTTTCATTTAGTATCTTTAGTTAATGTTTTATTTTGT